TGGTTTCAAGTTTTATCTACATAAATCAACAGGTTTTATGAAAGGGAGATACTCTCCCTTGAATTGCCATCATTAAATCCAGAGCTCTGTGATTTTGCAACATCATTATTAAAAAGATACCTCTGACACACTCCTATCAAGACTGACAGGTATTTGAACTGCCCAGATTTGGTGGGGGGGATACTCTTCAATATTGAGTGAAATAGCAGCTCCCCGCTCAAGGTTGGTAGACATTCTGGAGGTCTTCCTGGACTTGTAGCTCCTGCTTGAAGAACAGGTGTCAGCTGTCACTAGGAAGGCCTTTGCAATTCCATGTGGTGTGCCAGTTGTGCCCTTTCTTAGATTGGGGGGGGGGCATTCAGAAGGAGAATCATACTCTAGTGATTTTGTGACTTGGTTACCACAGTGCTATCTACATGGCACTATCCTTGAAGGCTTCAAGTGATCCAGAATGCAATAATTTGAGCAGCAACGGACATGCCTCAGTATGCCCATGTAAGATCTCTGTTTCACAAGCTGCTTCGGTTGCCAGTTTATTTCAGGGTACAATTTAAGGTGCTGATCATTACATATAAAGCTCTACATGTTATATAGGGCAGAGCTGCTTCAGGGATTGCCTATCTCCCATAACATCTGCTCAGCCAATTTGGTTTGATGCACCTTGGGTTCCATCAGTTAAATCAGGACCATCAGGACCATCAGGACTGTCAGGACCCCAAAAGCATGCCTTCTTTGGAAGCGGTGCCTGCCCTCTGGAAAGCAGTTCCTCCTGTGATCCAGATGGGCCCCACTCTGTTGTTTAGAACAGTGGCCCCCAACCTTTTTTGTGCCACGGCCCGGTACCAGCATCACAAAATGATCCGCGGCCCGCTACCGGCATCAGCACGCATGACAAGGCGAGCCGAGCTGAGTGACCGGCCAGCCAGCCGTCCCCCGCTTCTCCCCGCTACCTTCAACTCCTCCTTTGTACCTTTTTTGTGCTTTCTTAATCTCCTCTGCCATTGGGATGGCTCTTCGTTCGAAGCCAACCCCCCTTTCGATGAAACTAAGGCGCGAGGATTCCTTCAGGACCCAAACGCCGCTTTCCAACCGGAAAAGCTCACCCGGAAGCACTTTCTCGTCGAAACAAGATGGTGGCACCCAGCAAACCGGCGGCCTGGTAGAAAATGATCCATGGACCGGTATCAGTCCGGGGCCCGGTGGTTGGGGACCCCTGGTTTAGAAGAGCCATAAAAACCTGGCTCTTCACCCAGGCTTTTTGAGAAAGGAAAGTAAGACAACTTGCTTCTTTCCATCTGGTCTAGTTGTTCTTGCCATCTTTTATTAGTTTTATTGCAATTGCTTGTTTGATTGCTGTGAACATCCAGAGTCATTGGGCATTGGGGGTGGGGAGCATACAATTTTAATAAATCATCCTTTTTTTGTACAGCTGGCTGACAATTTATTTTTCCTGGGAAAGCAGATTTAGGGAGGGGGTTATTAACTTGTCATATCAAACGCTATTTTCTTTTTTCTTAAATAGAAAAGGTGAGACAGAGAGATGAAAACAGAGGGGGTGGGGGGGGTATTTGTAATACATAATACCATGTTCTTATGAAAACCTTTCTGTTTTATTGGCTTGGGACATAGTCCCGAGCTATTAAGGCAGAGGAAGAAGCACATGGATCGCTCTTTTTTGCTACATCTTCAGTAAACATTTTCTTTCTCTAATTAATTCAAAAACTATTCCCAGCTCACCTTCTGACTTGGTTTGTACATTATATTAAGAGATTTCCTGCATGAATAATATATAGCAGCTCTTAAGGCCTTCATTAAACTGGCTTTTCCATTGGCACTTCCTGAAGTAAAAGAAACAGGATTTTCCTAGAAAACCACACATCTATAGCATCAAAGTGTTATGATCCAATCCTTGTTCAAATTAAACAAACACAAACTGTGTAAAAAGCAAAACTTTTTTAATGTGGTGCTGGGAATTCTGCATTCCCAGCCAAGAGTCAGTTAAAGCTAATTGTCCGATATCAAAAGCACGCCAAGGCTGCCAAGAACAGAAGACTAATTACTAATTAAATATCCAATGACAGAAGTTTCAAAAATAAACCAGAGTAACCAGGGCTTCAATGAGAACGCTGAGTCTAAAGAACTTATTTGCTTCCTGCAAAGAACACATCCCCGAGGGCTGGTTTTTATCCCTTATGGGAAGAGCCATCACCTTGCAGCCTTACTCCCAAATTCAGCTGCTCTTTCCTTCAAGCAGCCCTGTGTGCGTGCGCACTGGGCATGGGCTCCCCGGGGTCCTCTTCGTCACTGCTGCCAGACTTCACAAGCTCCAAAGGCAGCACCCCACTCTCTGATAGTCCTGGCCTCATCCTTGCATCACACGCAGGCCCCTTGTTCTTGCTATCAGAGACCTCTGCCGTCTGCACCTGATGTCGGTGAACCACAACACAAAGGCCCAGTAATTTAGAAGGCAGTATCTGGGGTCAGATATAATAAGATCAGGTTTAAAACACACTGTAATTCCTTTCCTTTCTTTCTTCCCTTCCCTTCCCCTCCAATGCTCTCCAAGAAATCTAAATTCTTCTCTCATTAAACATACACACAAACTCACCTTCCTTTCCCTTTCAACCCCTTTCAGAGTTTAGTTGAGCCAAATGTCAAAGACTGCTGTCCATTCTCCCATCAAATTGCTGTACATGTTATCCTCGACTTACAACAGTTCATTTAGTAGACCCTTCAAAGTTACAAAGGCACTGAAAAATGTAACTTATGACCGTTTTTTACACTTAACAACAGTTGCAGCATCTCCATGGTCACATGATCAAAATTCAGACTCTTGGCAACTGCACTCATATTTATGACTGTTGCAATGTCCTGGGGTCACATGATTCCCTTTTGCCTCCTTCCAACAAGCCAAGTCAATGGGGAAGCCAGATTCACTTAACAACCAGGTTACTAACTTATCCACTGCAGCAATTCATTTAACAACTGTGGCAAGAAAAGTCGTAACATGGGGCAAAACTCACTTAACAAATGTCTCAGTTAACAAATGTTGGGCTCAATTGTGGTTGAGGAGTACCTGTAATTATAACAGGATTGCAATTGTAGTAAACTGGGAATTTGGGGGAGGGAAAAACCAGTATTTTGTATTTCCTTTCTGTCGTGTAGCCACATACGCTTTCCTTGTTTTTCAAATCTTCATTTTTCTTTTTTGACAAACAACTAATTGTACAAATATACATTAACCACTTGGCTGGAATAGTAAGCCTGACTTGGGCTGGAGGACAGATGTTTTCATGAACCGATCAGTTTTGGAACAATTAAGGTCTAAGCTTTGCTGGAATCTGCCCAATGATACAGACAAAATAGAGCAAGCCACAGCTTAGGATGTTTATAGTTGTACAGAGTGATCATTCCTAAAGGATGCCCGTTTTATTCTACTTCATCAAGGGCTGGGTAGTGGTTGGACACTTGTGTGTAAGGACTAAGTCACTTTGGTAAAATTTAGCATACTGGCATAAACCAAACCAAAATGTAAGCTAGTTTTCAATGAGCATGGTTAACTCTTTTAACTTTTTATATTTTTGCATTAAAAATTATTTTTTTTAGAGTTAAAATCAAACTGGGAAGCATTTAACAATGCAAAGTTAAAAAAAATGAAATGATTGTATTCCAGTCTTTAATGAATAGAAAAAAAATAAAACTAATCCTATTGCGGGACTATTTCTAAAATTTGGAAAATTAAAAACAAATAAGCATCTCATCTACAGACTGAACTGTGAATCCAGTCACAAAGTTACTAATAGCAGTATCTTATCATTTCACAAATTATTTGCAGGTATATAACTTACAAAACATACTAGAATTGACCTTGCTAACTTCAGAAAACTTTTTTTATTCTCTCATTCTCATGTAACTTTAAATCGCATTTAATTTGACATTATGGAAATCTCTTCTAGTATTATTGTCATTGATTTTCCTAAATTGTGAAACAAGACAATTTCTTAAAAATAATTTTACCAGAACTAGAACGTATCCTTTCAAAATTAAGAGTAGCAATAGGCCATGAAGATCTGGATGGAATACACAAGCTCAGATTGAATTTTATCAGGATGGTTTGCCATCCATCGATACAAGGGCAATCTGCTAACATTGGGTCTGAAAGTTTCTCATGATAGGATTATACAGAATTGGTTTGTAACCTAGGATTCTCCTGGACTCTTAGGTCCTGTTTAAACAGCAAGGTAGCCTTACACAGTGTAACTGATGCACCAGTTGTGGCCCTACCTGGGCCAAGTTGTTCCAGTTGCAATAACACATACTTTGATCAACACTTAATCAATTCTGCACTATAAGCTACATGGAGTTGCTATTTCTAAAGTTAAGTGTTGATCAAAGCATCTGTTATTGCAACTAGAAAAACTACAACTGGCACAAAAGGTTTGCTAAACTTCTGATAAGTCACACCCATTTGGTTAAAATAACACCTATTTTAGAATCACTGCATCCATTGCCAGAAGGCTTCTGGACCAAATTCAGAAAAGTAGTTATTACCTTTAAGTCCTTTAGTGGTCATTTGTAACTTCAGGACACATCACCTAATGCCTTACCAAAATTGAATATTCCTATTTAATCTGATCAACAGTGGGCCTGTTGCATGTTTCTCCTCCTTGCAAGATACATGAGGGTTGGGCTTGGCAACAGGTCCTCATTTTATGAATGCTCTCTGCCAAGAGATATAGATGGCCCCTACTCTAGTGGTGTTTTGAAAACAAGCCAAAGTATAATTGTTCCTGTGAGCACTTGGCTCTTGGATTAGATTAACTGAATTGTGCATTTAATGTGTTAAGAGTTTCATTGATGATTTTTTAAAAATTATCTAGACTTGAGTTTTGTAAATATTTTTGTCCCTGGCCATGTTTTACCCTAACCGTAGCCCATTTGGATTGGAACAAGCTATACATATTTTACAAATAAATGAACAAATAAAGATCTCCAAGGTGTCTTCCAGCTTTATTCTGAATGATTGATCTTTGTCTTCTCATCTTTTGTGGGAGATGAATGCTTTATATTCAGCATTAACAGCCTTTATCATGGCATCGCTAACGGGTTAACAGACGGCAAGAAGTTCCTTGCCTAATTCAAACTTTTCCCACCCCCCATCTTGTATTCTGAAAAATCTAACACAAGTGAAGAAAAAAGGACAACCTTGCAGGCAAAACAGGCCATTTCTCGGTCAAATAGCTCTGTGCGATTTAAAGGACCGCGGGAATCGGGCTCCCAGAATCTGTAGCTTTAAGCGACCTAGCCTTCCCCAATTACGGTCTTCCAGATGTATTAGAATCTGGCTAGAAATTTGGGATCTGCTATTTCGACGCATGTAAGGTCGTCAGATTGAAAAAGGAATGCAGTGAGCTGCCTTTTGCTCTTTTTGTGACAGCGTATTGGAACGCCCTGAGCACGTTTGAAAGTTTACCTAACTTTTCACCATCAAAGAAAGAACCGAGTTTGAAAGAACTTGTGACTGCGTTCTTCTCTAATAGTTTCCGATCATTCTGGCAAAAAAAAAACCAAAAAAAAATTCCAGCGCTTTGACCACCGAACGCTTGAAATGCTGCTTTGCAGACGCTTTCGCCTCCAAAAGGAAGGAATAAAAATCGCACCCTCCGGGTTTCGTTTCCCAGCAATCGGGCGGCCGCTCCCCCCGCACGCCTAGAAGTACTTTTCTCTTTAATCAGGGAGGATTGAAGAGCGCAACCCCCGTGGAAGACTGCCTCTGCGCAGGCGCAGCGTTGATTTTAAGAAGGGGGGCCGTGAGGAGGGGCGCTGCACGGGGTCCTGTTGGTTGGCGTCGCCCGCCTCTTTCTCCAGCCGAAACGCCCCGCCTCGGATGCCGTTGCCGCCCCTCCCCCTCTCCTTCTTCTCCTTCTCCTTCTTCTTCTCCTATCAGGCGCGCGTCTGACGGGCCGTCGGAACCGGCTGCGAGGCAGGGCCGGATGGATGGATCCCCGGGTTGCCTGGATCCAGCCGGAGCAGAAAGGCCCCGCCAATGCGCTCTGGATGCAGATCTGGGAGACCTCGCAGGGCCGGACCGGCGGCGGCTCTTCGACGTCCTCTCCGTCTTCGCCTGCCTTCCCGCCGACGGCCGCCCCCCGTTATTCCTTTTGCCGGTTTAGCCCGGCGGCGGCGGCGGCGGCGGCGGCGCCTCCATCGCCCAACTCCGAGGCCTCCGTTGCTGCTGGCGGACCTCTGTCATCTCCTCAGCTGATCTCCAAGCCGGCTTCCCTGCGCCTTCTCCCTGCCCAGAGCGCGGAAAGACGAGCGCCGCGCCTGCTGCTCCTACAGAAGGCCCCGGCGGCGTCCCTCTCTTCCTCCTCCTCCTCCTCTTCTTCCTCGGCCGAGTCTGGGGCTGACAGCCCCGGTGGTGGTTCTTCCTCGTCGCCGTCCTGCGTCCGGCCCGGACTTGGGGGGCCGCCGCCGGCCTCTGGCAAAATCTTGGCAGGCGTCGCTGAAGCGAATTCAACGAAGCAAGAAGAGCTGGAGGAGGGAGGAGGAGGAGGAGGAGGGCAGGCCCCGCGGGCCTCCGGCGTGGCCGTTACCGCCCCCTCCTCTCCCCATCCCCATTACTACCACCACCACCACCACCACTTCCACCACCACCAGTACCACCCGGGGCGCAGGAAACGAGAGAATAAGGCCAGCACGTATGGGATGAACTATCTGCTCTCGGGTGGCGGCGGTGGCGGCACCGTCCGCAGAGGGACCGGCCCAGCTGGCGAAAGCGGCCCCTGCTCTCCAGCCCAGGCCGGCTGCGCCCTCGCTCTAGGCACGCCTTGGAAAAGTAGGCAGTACAGCTCAGGTATACAAGGGTGAGTATCGCGCACAGTTGTCTCTACGCCGTCGTTAAGCCCATTTCAGTTGCCCTATACCGTGATTTTCCCCATTGAGTCGGATGGGGGTCAAGGAAATACGGGGTGGTCTTTTCTTCAGCGAAATCCTAGGCAAGAAGGCTCAGTTTGCATGGGGGTTGTGATGGGAAGAAAGCTAGTTTGTTTTCTCTGCGTTGTTCTATAGATAGGATTTAAACGCTGCTGTTTGTCCTGTGGGGAAATGTTAGTTCTAAATAAGCGTTGGGGAAATACTTTCGGAGAGATCGTTTGAGTAGTTGATGAGCCTGGAAGAAGTTGGCTGGGTCCTCTATACTTCTCAATTCAAGGTTCTGTTCAGAGTGCATATGAAATTTTTATAAGCATACAGGTAGTCTTTGACTTGCAACTGTAATGGAGTCTGCCAGTTGCTGTCATAACTTGTGATGATTGCAATTCAGGGCATCGTGACTGACATTTCTCTCTCTCTTTTTTTTTTTGCCAGCAGTTGTTAAGGGAACCCCCCCTTTTTTTCTACCTTACATTTTGGCCAAAAATTGGATGTGAACTTGGATTTTTGGCAAAAATGTGAATTGTAATTGCATGACACTAAGATGCTGAAAATGCAAACTGTGTGATGAGCACCTGAACTGTGGCCATTGTGACTGTGGGAAAGAGAATGGCCATTGGAACTTTGATCCTAAGCTAAGGACCACCTGTACTTAATACATGTCTAAAATAGTTAATGTTAGTGGTGGCTTTTTAAGTAAAAAATAAATGAGCCGTTATACCTTGCTTTCCCTGAAACGTCAGTAATAATGTTTTATGTGTATTTTAAGTGTAATTCCTGAGACACTTTTTCAATACCTAACTAGCCATATGGGCTTTTGAAAATTCTAATTTGTATTTGAAAGTTTGGTAAGTGTAAAAGAAAATATACAATGCCTTCATAGGAGTGTGATCCAAAGCAAACTTCTATTATACTTGGGTGACATAAAAGTTTTAAGTTATCATGATTGGTCACAATGTCAACTGGATAGTTAGACTAGATTTGATATTTGAGCCCTTCTCAAGAACCTGGGATATGCAGATGTTAACTGTTTGATGATGTAAAAGGTATTATCCAGGATGTACACTATTCCAGATAAGGCTGCCTTTGCAATTGACTGATGGTGTTTTTGTCAATGTCGATCATGTTCAAGTGGAGCTCCAGATGATTTCAGATTGCATCCAAGGACGTCTATTACTATTTTTTAAAAAAAGTTTTTTATTTTAACAACAAAACAACATAGACATACCACATAAAACATAAAAATATCATCCTTCTTCATAAATTTACAAACAGTGCATCGGTTGGTTTACCACTTTTTTTTGTGCATCCATTTCCTAGTCACTAATATATTACATAATAGCTCATATTATCAATCAAGGGCGTCTATTACTATTGCTATTAATAAAAACAAAATATAAACAACATGCAAGGTCTGTAAGTATAACCACAAAAATTCGTATTTATTGGTTATTGAATAAATTCATATGATATTACAACTTGGATTCTGTGTGACATACATCAATTTAAAATGTTTTAATTCAGGAAAGAAAGAAAAATTGAGGCCCAATTAAAATTCCAGCTGTGGGATCTTCTATTACCCTGCTCCCCATATACAGGGAAAACAGGTTTTTAATAGCTTTCCCAAAGCCAACTAGTTTGGGACTAAATATATGCTGGAGGAAGGAGAATGGGTGCTGTACTGAAAAAGGCACATCTCTATGTGCTATCAGGTGCCATTGTTTCAGTGAAGGAACCTGAAGTGAGCTCTTCCTGTGAGAACATGTGGTACAATAGAAGACAATCTGAGAAAGATGGTCCTGCAGGTAACCCTGTCACCCATTATATGGGGCATTATGTGTGATTACTGGTAATTTTCATTGGACTCAAGCTTAGTGGGAGCTAGAGCAGTTCATGAAGTAGTTAAGTGGATGTACTGAAGTGTGTCCATAAGTAACTGTGCTGCTTTTTTGTGGAATAATTATAGCTCCTGGATAATTTACAAAGGTAGCTCCATGTTCAGTGAATTGTACTGTCTAATTTGGCTGCAATAAAGCATGACTGACTATAAACAGAACTTGCCAAATCAGGAATGTACAATTGGTACACAAAACATAAAAGTTGTATGAAAGCCACCTGGGCCACAGCTGTCATCCGCTCAAGCAAGAACTACCGGTATAAATTCAGAAGAGCCCCCAAATTATATGGAGTTTTAAGTGGAAAAGTATAAATCCCCACTTACGATTCCCCAATATGGAAGTATCCCTACTAAAATTAGGGGCTCCAATCACTTGGTCCTTTACTAGGTTTGAGCTGAAGCCTATTCTTCATTCAGTCATCTGTAACATTCAGGCATTGGGCCAAAACCTTGACAAACACTTGGTCAGCTAAGAGCAGGGTTACACAATTGAGTATCAACATAATGATGAAACTGCATTCCCATGCTAATGGATTACTTCCCACATTGGTTTGTGTAAATTTTAAATAAAAATGGGAGAAAATGAAACCATGAGGCACTCATAAACAGGAGACTTGCTTTATGTCTTGACTGTTTTACTCCAATACCAACCTGCTAATGTTTCACAGACTTTTGGCAAGGATGACTGGATTCCCCTTCAACTATGTTGGTTTGATTCTTTTTCATTCTGTATGGGTTTTTTTATCCTCCTTGCCATCTTTTACTTTGTTCCTTGCTGTATTTTTTCTTGGTTTTGATACTTTTTCTTGTGAGCTGTCCAGAGTTGTTGGGAGATGGTAAGCATGCACATTTACTTTAGATCAGCCCTAGAGGAAACGGTACAGTTAGCCTTTAGTTAACAATGATAATTGGAACCAGAAACTCCATTGCTAAGTGATTTGGTTGTAAAGTGCAACATCACATGACTTTTCCACTTATGATAACAGTTCTGGCAGTTGCAATTGTTAGGCACATTCTGCATTATAATTAATGATTTTACAAGTATACATTTGTAACCTCCCAATGGCTTCCCCATTGATATTGCTTGTCAGAAGCTGGCAATGAAAGTCATAGATGGCAGTCATATGACTATGGGATGTTGCGACTATCACAATTGTTAGCCAATTGCCAAGCACCCAAATTGTGGTCATGTGACTGGGGAAGCTGCAATAGCCTCAACTTCAAGAACCAGATACAGGTCTCCTCATTCAGTGCCATCGTAACTTTGAATAATTGTTAATGAACAACTACATATAACATTTGATAACGATACTGAGTTAAATAATATTTTGAACAAATTCATAATAAATTATTTTCTTATCAATTTCAATGTAACGGCATATTCCTCTCTTGAATTAATTTTAATATGCTTAAAACAATTTTCCATGATTTCCAGTCATCCATTTTAACATAATATAGTTCTCTTATTATAAGTAATAAGAATACTACCAGTTCTACTGTCATTATTTGTAAACTCACTTATATTATTTAATTCTGTTTCAAATAATATCCATTCTTTCCCCCAAAAAAAGTTTTGTCACATTCTATACAGACCGAGTCCACCAGACTGAGAATGCTTGTGACTTTTCTACAACAAGCAAGTTTGAAATATAAAATAAGAATGGTGATATTTTCTTATGCTTATCTCTTCCCCTTTTTATTTCAGTTGAACTGAGTGCTCTTTGTTTTACTAGAATCTAGATCTTTGGTGTCTCTTCTACCATATATGTGCAAGGAAGAAAATACTTTTGTAGAAGTTTTTGTGGGCTTCTTGTATTTAATAGTAATAAATATTTTAATTTTTAAGAGAATAATATATTGTAATAAAGCAATAAAATAAACATGCAATAATATTGAAAAACTATATTGAAAAAACAAATAAGCCAGATAACAGACAACAAATATAATAAAATAGTACCTGAGAAAATATTAACCTTAACAAATTGCTCATTTAACTTTCTGGAATTAACTTTCTGTATATTGCTTTTATTATATAGTGTCAGAAATGTTTCTTTGTGTTATTCAGTATTTCTTGACTCTTACGGCATTGTTAGCATAATTGTGCTTGCAATTTTTATAAATAGACCTTTCCTTCTTGGCTTCACTGTAATGATGGGTCACATTAATTTTTAATGGTTAGGTATTATTTGACACTTTCAAAGTTATTTATTTCAAATGAAGGCAAATATACGTGTCCCAAGATAATGTTGCAGGATCCAGTCTGGGTTGGTCATCTGGACCAGAGGTTTAGTCTTCTGAGCATCTAATATAACTAGGATAGGAAAGGAATTCCATAATCAAAGCACCTGTATCAAGAACATCTCTGAAGTTTACGTCTATTTTATATTATTCTCTCTCCTGAAACAGCCAAGAGAACATTAACAATACACAGTAAACAGTGTTCCTTAAAAACAATTGAAGGGTCTTTGGTGTTCTCTGAGCTTGCTTGTTTTCTAGCAGATATTCATTGCCCAAACTAAGTAACATCATCAGTGCTAGTAAGGATTGGGGTTTGCTGTCAGTTTATATTCTAATGTCTTGCCCTGTCAGTATTAAAAACTATTTAATATAAAAAACAAGCAATAAAATGCTCTCATATTAAACAACACTGTAAACTATTCAGAATTCAACAGCCATCTATCAGACCAATTAAAACTAATTCAGGGCTGTAATTAGTTTTGAACCTAAACACTACTTTCCTAAGAATGTTCTGAATATGTACAGCCATTATCCCCTAAAACATCATCTTAAGAAGATAGTAAACCAGTTGCTATGGTAAATAAATATGATGAGTTTAAGTAGTAAAGTTTAAATTAAATATTTGCTTGAGTTGACAACCCTGAAGCCTCAAAAGATGGCCTCAGCGTTCTGTTTTCTATGGGTGCATTACTTGGAACACTGACATAAGTACATGTATGATCCCTTATGTACAAAGTAGGGGTGTCATAACATTTTTGCAAGTATATGTCACTGCATCCATAACAGTAGTAAATAAAT